TAATTTTTCTATTTTTTTATATTTTATAACATTTAAGTATTTAATAAAAAAAATTCTAAATTTTGTGAGTATAAAATTCTTATAAAATATTTTTTATAACATTGACAAACAGTGCAAATTATTTTTTTTTAATAAATGAAAATTTCATTCTTTACATATAAGAATATGCTCAAAATATTTTATTTCATGACATAAAAATATTTAGTGTAGGCACTTATTAATATAATTTGAATAGTTCCACTTTATGTCATTAATTTTATTTATATTATCCGCATAAATTACTCAGTGTGTGGCCGATATAATAAATTAAAATATTGTTGAATTCGTAAACGCATACATAATAAGTATGTTTGCGTGTGTATATTTACGAGTACTCATATTTACATACATACATATACATATTATGTATTTTTTTTTATTTTTTAATATTTTTTTTTTTGAAATACATACATACATACATACATACATAATATTTTAATTTTAGACATACATAAATAAATGTAAATGACATGTTATTGGTAAATAAATTTTAAGAATTAATAAAAATAAAATAGAATACTCGTAATGCAAATTTACATATATTTTTCCAATTATTCATATGTATATATATATGTTTGTATTATGTATATTATGGTAATAATTGTAAATTTGGTTCACTTACAATATACAATAGCTGAGTGAGCAGTTCTTTTACTTTAATTTTATTTTTCTTATAGAATAACCTGCCTTGAACAAAATTGCATTATAGATTACAGGTTGTGTTTACAAATCAAGCGAAATTGGACAACTAAATTATACAAATAATTGACAATAAATCGAAAATTTTAGTAATAACCATTTTTTTTTAATTGTTTCAGTAATCCAAAAATTGATTAGAAACTTGAAAAAGATTCTATTTTTGTCATACAATTTTGTTTGATTTGTAAACGTTGCTTTAAATTAGAACAAAGAGTACCCAATTTGAATATCCCGATTTTGTACTAAGTTGACGTGCTTAGCATGTCAACTTAGACATTTTTGTGTAATTGCTACAGATTATCTTAATTATAATTATTATAATGCACTTATATGTATGTACATAATATGCACTTGTATATGGAAGAATTCATTTGGGGAACGGTTTTCAACACAAGTTATACATGTATGTACATACAAATTCATACCATATTCTTTATTTTTAACGTGCAAACATACCTAACGTGTATATAATCAAATTTAATTTAGTTTATTTCTTTATAAATTATACAAACATACAATGCTATTAATTTAAAGAATTACATATGTTATTACTATGGTTAATGCGTCACAACCAAGTTGAAATTTAATTAAAGTGGTGTTTTTTTTACAAATAATTACACAAACTATAAAATTTCCTTAAAATTACAAAAATCATTTTTCTCCCCCGTCACTTCGTTCATATGTCAAACAAAATACATATTATGTGTCTACATACTTATGTATGGATGTGTGTACCATTAATTATTGTAATAAAGTTCCTTTTTTATGATTGTAAATTAAATAATGATGTAAACATACATAGTTGTCGCTGATATTTACCCTAAAATTTAAAGAAAATTAACCTTCTATATCAAATTCAAATAAAATATCTCATTTCGTTATCATTAAAAATATTTCTTTTAAAGAGTCTATCTTATATGAAAAAAAATATATAAAATATCAAAAATTCTTGATTTAATTAATAGATTAAGTAACAAAAATCAAAACATCAACATCCTTTTATTGAAGGTCATGAACGTAATAAAAATTTTGTAATAAAGTTCAAAACAAAACAAAAAAAAAAAAATTTGAAAATAAGTCATGGCTGTACAACGCACACATTTTCTCTCACCCTTAAACTCTCATTTGTTTTTTTCTATTGAATACTTGTTAAAGTAAATCGCTGTTATTGAACTTAGTGCGTAGCATAAATTTTATAATAAAATTAATGTGACCAATTCAGTTTTTCACATTTTCATAACAAATGAGAATTTCATTTTTGTTTCGAATTATGAATGTCAGTCAGTTTGGTCTTTCAAAAGAAAAATGGTGTCCCTAAGTGACACAGTAAACAAAAATTAAATTTTCCATAATTGGTGCAATTTGAGCTCAGATCCTAATTAATATACTAATTTACAAAATTTTCGATTTTGTTTAAATTTCAAATTTTTAATTAATTGTATTCTGAAACATAAACAAATAAAATTACTTTGACTCTTTACAAATCCTGTAATTTAATATTAACTCAATTTTTAATTCAAAATATAAATTACAAACATAAATATTTAAATACATACATACAAACTTAATGAATTCAAATATTACGTAGAAATGTATGTATGTATAACAAAATATTAAGTGTAAAATATTTTGACACAAAAAATTTTGTAATATCATCTGTACTTGTACTACATAATTTTGAATAATTTTTTTACTTTTAAAACTGATAAGGATAGAAAATTTTATAAATAATTTTATTTCTATTTTAAAAGAAAGTGAAATGTGCGTATGTAAAGTATGTTTTCTGACACACCCCTCAAATTTCATAAAAATTTTGTGTTATCTAAATAAATATAACAAAAATGTGAAAGAGCAATACAATTTCAATATAATGTAAACTTGTATGTAGAAAATTTGTATAGTGGGGTGGCAGATGTGTTTGAAAAAATTTTAATCAGATTTATGTAAAATTAATAATATGTTGGTTTCAAGAATGAGTGAAGTCCTCCGAACAACATTATAGGCAACAGTTCTGATCCTTATATTACAAAATCTATGAAAATTTAGCAAGCAATTGGGGGACGTTATTTCCTTTTGTATGAAATACTTTAGCAAGAAAAGAATTTTCGAATATTCTGAAACAGTTAAATTTTTTAATGTGTCTTTATTTTACAACCGGTTTTGCATTTTATTTGACATATTAAAAATATTTTAACAAATATTTACGTTTATTAATTTTTCAAACGTAATAATTACTAGCAAGGTGGCAGAAAGTACTAGAACATTAACTTTTTACGAACGCTTAATAAGATTTTGCTATGCTTATCAAAAAAATGTCAATAATTTTGTTATACGAAACAATGCAATATGTAAGTGATGAGTTGTTGTACACAATGTCAATAAAAACTGTATTTTATATTTTTCTGTAATCATACATTAATTACTTATACGAGTATTTACATATGTATGTATGTACATATATTAAATAAGAATCGCGTATATTGTATATTTTATGAAAGATTAAAAGGAAACTGTCACAATATTTACATACATATAAATTGATACGACCTGTCAGTTTTTTTTTTTAATTTATTTTCAGAAAAAAATAATATTTTATTTAATTATTTTTATGTAATTATTTTTATTAATCTACAATATTATTTAATTATTTCCTATTTTTTTCTTTTATTTTCAAAGAATTATTGTATGTGATTTTTAACCGAGAAACCGAAATTTATAAAGATTTCATATCAAAATCACAATATTTAAATATAACAATAATAATTATTGACCCTTAGTTTCAAATATTTTCAAAGCAATATCAAAACAGTGCAAAAGAATATGATAACAGCAGCTTGTATAGCAAATAATTATGTACATCCATATATGTACATACAGATAATCACTTGTTCGAAAAATAACGCAGACAAAGTGAAAAGAGGAAGCTTATCTTAAATTTACCAAAAAAAAAAAAACAATTGCTTTGAAATATGCAAAAAAAATTTTCATCATTCAATGAAACACAAACAAATTAATTGCATTCAGGGAATAAATACTTCAAGCATTTAGTTTCCATAAGCATTCACAGCAGTATTTACAGTTTGAGTTCGATCATATTTGAAATAATTATGATATCATATTATTTTCTTGTATTACATACAACTACATACATACATACTTATGTGTATTTCGTTGAAAAATTTATGATGCACAATTTATTTTTAGCAGATCCTCTTCAAAATTTACACACAACTTAATTTTAATTTTGTTATACAAGTGCAAAATTGAGTCGATTAATAAAATTATCCGCTGTAAATATTATATCATGACATAAAAATATTGCAAGCGATATTATTGTTTATACATGAATAGAAGAGAATGTAAGAATACAAAAATCGCATCACTATTGAATAAAATAATGACGAATTAAATTTTTATATTTAATTTTTATTTTTAAAATTTAAAAATAACATAAAAAATAATATTAAAATAATTTTCATAATGAATAATCACAAAATGCTCTAAACATTTTTCAAGAAAATTCACAAAAAAACCAAAAAAAAAAATTAAACTACAAATTAAAGCGTAATATGAATAAAAAAAAAATTTTAAAAATTAAATAATTTATGAAAACTAAAAAAAAAAAACAAAATGAAACAAAAAACTACTTAAGTTCATATGAACTTTTCTAAATTTATATCATGTAGCAGAAAATGTGTATAATAAACTCATGACTCTAATTTATATGTACGATACATTTTATTTTATGAATACATAATTATATCCATTTACATACATATCTATGTAGAATATTCCGGCTACATATGTGTATATGTATGTAATTAACAAAATAAATTTTTAATTTATTTATTTATTACTTTAATTTTTCTTTTTTCGTTTTCAATATATGTAAGAGTAAAAAATCATGTTGACAAACAACAATCAATTCAAAAAAAAAAAATACAAAACAAAAATAATTTTAACAACAAAAGTAAATGTTTAGACACATCTATATCTCATATAAAATATACAAAATAATATATTCAACAGTAACGTTGAAAAGGAATGATGATAAAATTAATATAGTAACAAAACAATAACAGAAATAACAGCAAAAGTAATAATAAAGAGAGAACAAGAATAAAAAAAAAAAAAAAAAACATATCAAGCGAGAAGAAAAATATTTAAGTTGCTGGCAGTGGCACTCGCATTATCAATATTCGTCATCATTTAATATAGCGCCGCTTATTTTAATTTTTTATTCAGTTGGTGTTTAACTTTTGTGGTGGCAACATTTAAGCAAATAAAATAAAATAAAAGCGGAGGAGACTTTTTTTTTGTGATTTTTTTATTTTATAAATTTAAAATTAAAAAGAAAAACAAAAGGAGAATTAATTAAAAGGGACATTTAATATTTTAAATATTTTTTCATTTTGAAAATAGAACAATTCAGTTTTTTTTTTTTTAAATAATTCTTTATTATTTCTTGTATTTGTGATATTAATTTTAGTTTAAAGAAATAAAAGTAAAAATTAAATTAGAAAAATAATTTAACTTAAAAATAGTGAATTTTTCCCTAGTATTCTTACATTTTTTTTTTTTTTGGAAAAAATTCTTATTTGCTATAAATAAATAAAAAGGTTGGTTTATGCTAAATAAAAAAAAAAATTCTATATGCTACATTTAGTTTTTATTAATAAATAAGTATGAAGTGTGAATGTTTTTATATTTAATTTTTTTTATTACCAAAATTTTATATACTTTTATACAATTATAAATATATTTCATTAAAAATACGTACTCTAATTCAATATAAAAATATATACATATATATGTATATATACATGTATAATATGATATGATATATTATGTATTTATGTATGTATGCGATTATTTTACCTTATCCTTTCGGTGTACACACATTCATACATACAAAATATAAGTATAATTCAGAAATATTTTTGCTCAATTTAATTGCATCTTAAAATTTATATAATATAAAATATTTAATACTATACAATTTATATTTAAATGTTATAATGTACATTTTTGTATATATTTATGTATGTACGTACATATGTATAGAATCTAATATTTATATTAGAATTTGAAAAACGTGCTCGATTTCTTAGAAAACCAAAAAAAGAACACAAAAAAGAAAAAGAAGAGAAAAAGTACGCATATTTTAAAAATAAAATAACAATGTAACAAAAATAAAAAAAAATCTAAAAAAAACAAAATCAAACAAAATGTTTATAAACATAAATTGCCAAAATATATTTTTGTGATACATTTTCTGTAATATTAATTAGAATATTTTAAAAAAATTCCTTGTGAGATTTCCTATTAGTAAAATATTTCTTTAGATTTATTATTTCGTATTTCCATTTTATAACTAGAATATTGAAATTATTAAGTATATATATGTACCTATTTTCTGTTACTTATATGTAATTTGTGCAAATTATGTATTTATGTATATTAAAAAAAATTACAAATTAAAATATAAAAGAAATCTTAGAATAACACTAACGATAGAAGTTCTTTCACTGCATTAAATAAATAAAAATCCTACAAATAACTACTTAATGTAAAAAATAAATAAAATATTGTTAATTAAAAAGTTAAATGGAAGGTTTTTATAGTTTGAATTTTAGAATTTACATAAATATTTCATATAATAAAATTTCTCAATTGTTATACATTGACAATAAATTATACAAGAATTGTGAATAATTAGAATAAAATATTGACAAAATTGATAACCTGTGCATATTATGAACATAATTTAATTAAGAAAGGTTCTTAAAGAATTTATTCATGTATTTCCTTATTAGTCATTTATTTTATTGTAAGTAAATTGAGTTAATTATTAATTAATTTTTATCTTATTAAAATTATAAAAAAACAGAATTTTATTCAATTTAATAATGAATATTATTTATTATAAAAATATTTAATAAACTTCTAGTAATATTAAAAAAAAATCCAGAAAAGAAAGAAAAATAGGGTTTCATATTTCATTCATTATATATTTATATATATTTATTAATTTATGTTAAAGATTTTTATTATTTAATTCAAGTAGATTGCAGTAATTTAATTAGTAAAGATTAAATTTTGTACTATACTTAAGTCGTTCTTGTATACACTGCTTTTAATGTAATTGTATTAATTCAGAGTACGGTAAGTACGTCCCAAATCTACAAAATATAAAATAAATTGTTATCACAGTTACATTATGTATATTGTTATACTTGTTCTTAAGTACAATCATATTTTATTTCCGGCCTGTAATGATTTCAGTTACAATGTTTCTAAAATTCAGAAAAAAAAATCTTAAATTTTTGTTAATTTTTAATGTGAATAAGTTTTTTGTCACTAAAATATTTTTTATATTTTGATAAAAGCATATGATTTAGAAATAAATTTGTTTTCTTAAGTAAATGATAATTACTTAACTCCTATACTGTAACCCGATGAATATGCAAGTTTTGTCATAAATATTTAATGTACATATTTACTTATATATGTATGTATATTTAAATACATGTCATTTGAATATTATTGACATAAGTAGGTACGAATAACAAAATATCGAATAAATGAACTATTTATTTGATTTCCTTTTCTTTTTTTGTGTTGTTTTTTTTTTTATAGAACCACCTGCGGGACATTTTGATTATCTTTTATTTACACATATGTATAATTATTACGAGTATTTGTAAGAAATTATATACGTACCTATATGTTATATTCAAAAAATTATTTTGAATGAAATAATAAAAAAAAATTATGAATTCAGAAATATAATTAAGAAGTACGAATAATATAATATGAACTTACAAATACATATTATGTTCCTATCTACAAGTTACACACATAAGTATTATTTATTTGATATAAACATATGTGCATATATTTAATATAATTTATTTATGATAAACAGTGCGTACAATTTTATAAGTATATATACTTATAGTGTACTTTAATAAAATATAATAGTGAAATATTTATAGAACAATTAATACTTTATATTATTATACCCTGCACTTCGTGAAGGGTATATTAACTTTGGTATGGAGTTTGTAACTACTTGAAGGAGTCATCTGCGGTATGGACATATATATATATTCTTGCTCAGCGTAAAATTCTGAGTCGATTTAGACATGTCCGTCCGTCCGTCCGTCCGTCCGTCCGTCCGTCCGTCCGTCCGTCCGTCCGTCCGATCGCACGATAACTCAAAAACGAATAATGCAATCGACACCAAACTTTCACAAGTTTTTTCTTTTGTGCCAAGGACGAACCCTATTGTTATTGGATTAAATCGGACAACGGGTTCGGGTAGCTGCCATACAACTCCAAGAGTTTATTTTAAATATTTCAAAAACTAATAAAGCTATAAATATAAAATTTTGTATAAATGTGTCCAATTATATTCTACACATGCTCTAAAAATTATAATGGGATAGCTGCACCGGTTCGGGTGGCTGCCATACAACTCCAACAGCAAATTTTTTATATTCGCCAAAATAATAAAGTCAGATTCATGAAACTTGGCAGTCATGTGTCCAATTATAGGTCAAATATATTTCCGAAGTTTTGGAGGAATTGCTTGACAGGTTCGGGTACCTGCCATACAACTCCATAAGCTAATTTTAAATATTTGGAAAAGTAATAAAGTCAGATTCATGAAACTTGGCAGTTGTGTGTACGATTATAGATCAGATATATTTGTGAAGTTTTAGTGGAATTGCTTGACAGGTTCGGGTACTTGCCATACAACCCCAAAAGCTTATTTTAAATATTTGGAAAAATAATAAAGTCAAATTCATGAGACTTGGCAGTCGTGTGTCCAATTATGGGTCAGACATATTTCTAAAGTTTTGGTGCGATTGCTTGACAGGTTCGAGTAGCTCCCATACAAGTCTAAAAGCTAATTTTAAATATTTGGAAAAATAATAAAATCAGATTCATGAAACTTGGCAGTTGTTTGTCCGGTTATAGATCAGATATATTTGTGAAGTTTTGATGGAATTGCTTGACAGGTTTAGGTACTTACCATACAACTCCAAAAGCTAATTTTAAATATTTTTAAAAATTATAAGGTCAGATTGATGAAACTTGGCAGTCGGATGTCCAATCATAGGTCAGACATGTCCGTGAAGTTTCTATAGAATGATCTCACAGGTTCGAGTAATTGCTACACAATAACGAAAGGTGCAGGGTATAATTCAATCGGTTTATACCGACTGAAACGTTTTTACTTGTTATTATACATTTAAGTATGTTATGCCTAATATAAAACTAAAATCAAGAATAATAATATATTTAAATTGTAAATTGTCGGTCAGCGACTTCTAATAGACAGAATTAATTGAGTAGTATGAATTTACAATACATATATAATTGTGCATAAGGGTTCATAAGTAGGTATAAGAAAAGAAATAAAAATATTACATTAATAAAAATAATTAATGAGAATAAGTATAAATATAAAATGTTTCTAGGCCACTAGAAGAATGAGAGGAAAATGAAAACTATTTTCGTTTTTTTTTTTTTTTTTGTGCATAAAGTACATACAAACATAAGTACAGATGTATGTATATTTTATAACTTTAATAAAGGGAAGAAAATATATATGTACTTGTTATTATAATGTTATATTTATCTAAATAGTTACTTTACCATTCATAAAAATTTTATAATTTAATAGAATGAATCTTACAATATTTGTAATTTAGTTTAATATTTAAAAATAACTACCTATACTTAGTAGTTTGTAAAAATAGGTATATTAGGTATTATTACTTGATATAAAGGCACCAGAGAACGTACTGATATAAATAATTCAATTCTAACTAAGTTTTTAATATTGAGCACGCTCGATTAACTTAAACTGCAAAATCTGTCACAATAACGTGCTAGGTAATGAAAGTTGTGCTTAAAGTCGTAAAGAAATAATTAAAGTCTTTTTTTATAACTATATACTGTAAAAATATTACAAATTGGAAAAAGAGTATAACAGAAAAATTTTGTATATTGAAGAATTATTCGAATATGTTACAAATTTGCAAAAGTAAGATATTCAGTTTCTGCAAATTTGTAAGTGTGTGTTTGAATTATTGAAAATTCTCTTAATTATTATACTTAAATCTTTTAAAATTGTATTTTTATTCTCTCGGAATTGAATATATACATACATATAAGTATATATATTTAGAACTTTAGACTGATAATTATTTTTATAGTAATTTGTAATATTGTAGAAATTGTAAAGCTGTTCAGGCATAATTAATTTACTAAGTATATGATTGCTTGAATAAATAAATGTAAAATGTATTAAATGCCCTAATTATATCAAAAATGAATAATTTATTATAATTAAGTCTTATCAAAAAATAAAAAAAATAAATGGTTTTCCCAATTTAATAACAGACATATTATGTAACGTAGTATATGTAAGTATGTATATGTAGTATTAAACTTTTACAATTTCAAAGCTATTTTTAAAAGAATATTATGTTGAGTTTATTATTCATTCATTTAATTTAGACCACAGTTCAAATATCAAAATTAAAATTTTATTTATCTAAAACCAAAGTCGCCTACATTTTATTATATATTAATTTACTTACTTTACTGTATATGATTATGATTGGTTAAAGTAGTGATTAAAAAAGTACCGTTTATAATTAATTTATTTAATTATAAAGTACCGTTTAATTAATTTTTGCTTTTTGATTTATGTACTTTGAAGTGCTAATATAAGTTATTCCATTATATTTGCTATATCATTGGCAGCACAGATAAGTACATACAGATAAACTACTATATTCACATATACATATACATACATATACATATATGCAAACTTATACTTACATATACAGCTTTGTATATATTGATAATAAAGTACTTTAAAGTACCTATAAGTAGTTTAATTATGATTTTGAAAATATTCCATTTATGATTTTGTAGAACTGATTTTTTTTTTTGCTGTTGATTTTTTTTTTTTCTGTTATATTACTCTGATAAGCTATACGTGAAGATGATAAATATTTCTTAATACTTTTTTAACTTAATTAAATTAGACGAAAATAAAAACGTGATTCTAAGTGAATAATCAATAATTGATTTATTACTTATTCCTATAATACTTAAGAAACAATAAAAATTTTTATTAAAAGTGATTATATTTTGCTTATTTTATAATTAATATTAAAAAATATTATAAGTGTATATAATACTTCTTCACATATGATTTCTAATGTACTTAATGAGTAGAATTTCGGCTTAAATTAATGTAAAAGAAAAAGGTGTGTCTGAGCTTTACTACTTATCGAAATAAAAGCTAAATAGAAGTATGAATGTACGAGTATATATATATATTTAATATGTAGGTAAATTTGGAAGTATTAAGTATTCTTACATAAAAATTATTGAACTTCCTGCGTGGATTAATTATAAATTATGATTAGAAATACAATGGGTATTTCCGAAATTATTTTAATTATTAATTAAGTATACTAAGTATTTATTTGATAAAATTATTACAAATGAAATTTAAATATTAAATTTCATTTATTAATTTTATTTATTAATATAAAATTAGGTCGTCTGGGATTACATTATATCAAATCGAATTAAGAAATTAATTAGAAAATTTTAGAAAATGTATAGAAAATAAAATTTATGATTCATAATAAAATATTGAAAATTTGCAATATCATTCCTTGGTATGTACTAAAATTTGATTCCAAGAAAAAAGTATTAAGTATGAGTACTTTAAATTGGAAAAAGAAGACAGGAAATATTGTTTATAAATTCGGTTTTATATAAAATTTTTAACCTGTAAGTAAACATTTGTACGTTTGCTAACTATTTGTGCTATTTATTTATAAAATTTGGCATTGACAAAAATTCAGTAGAAAATCAGTAAGAAATTCAAATTTTATTATTTACATAATTTCATTATTAACTTCATTATATACATACAATATTAAAAATGTTGTTTGATAAATATCACTGTTGATGTTTTGTCATTAAAAACTGTAAATATGCGTAACTTGCAGCTCAAGCCGCAAACTCAGTTGGTGTAGTTTTTTCTTAAGGCCATTAAACATTTATTTAAAAAATTTTAATACTTACTTAATATTTTTTTTAAATACACGATTCACCTTATGAATTGTAATTGCTGAATTGTTTAAAAATGCAGTATTATTGCAATTTTGATGTCACGGTATTTTTTAATTTGTTCTCTAACTATTATATACGAGTATGTATATGCAATTTATTGCATTAAAATATTTATATAGAAAAATCGTGATAGTTATTTTGTTTTCTTCATTTTTTTTTTTGTTTATAGGTATTATAAGTTAATTATGGAAAATTATATATTGTAATTTATACATTATTTTTGCAGATATATATACATATATCTATATATATAGGTATAATAAATCGTTGAATATTTATATAAATTTTCATACAATTCATACTATGTATATATAGTTATTTATTAATTATTTTCTTTTCTACTAATGTTTACATTATGGCGAGACATAGATTTCAATTTATTTATTAACTTTTGTTTATTCAATATAATTAGGATGAGAACCTATACAATATGGTATGAGTTAGGTTAAAATAGATACAAAATTCAATTTAGTATGCTGTTTGAACAAGCTAAAATGTCAAGGTTTTTTTTTTTTATCATTACAAACTATATTTACATTAGTTAAAGTTATATTTATTTTATATTGTCGCTAAAATGGCATTCACAAGAGATCCTATAATAAAATTTTTATATAGGATATTTTATTAATTCCTTTGTTATTTACAATGTAATTTATATACATTTTTCTGTTATAACAGTATAAAATTTAATTGTAGAAGGACAATCATACTATGTATTTCTTTATTTAATATTAAATTTATTATGTTTATTGTGTGCATTAGAAAAGCCTTCTATTATAAAATTTGTGATTAATAAAAAAATTAAGAATAATAATTTTTATGATAATTTTTTTATTTCTTCATTGAAAGTTGTAAATTTTAAATATGTAAGTATTTTTTATATTGAAAAATTTTAGTTATTTTATTACAATTTTATGGTAGATAAAATATTTAACAATATTAGAAATAATTTACATTCTAGACATTTTTATTTGATTTTTGATAAGAAATTTAATGAAAAATGGGGGGCTTGTGTATAATTTACAATAACGAAAAATTGTTTGTTTTTTTTTTTTGTAAAATTTTTGTCACGTGTGAATTACAAATAAGTGATCGAGTACAGTAATAAATAATTAAAATCCAAAAGCTTTAATATTAGACATTTTTTTTAATTAAACATTTTTTATATTATTTTTTATAAATTTAAATAATTTGTGTTATGCTAAAACTGTTTATGTATAGCACAAATAATATAACAGTTTATAATATATAATTTTTATTGTATATGTTAGTATATTTAATTATTATTTGAAATAAATATTTATAAATTAAAATTGAACTCATTTATTTAGCAGTAAGTTTAATGAGAAAGTATAAACAGAATTTTGTTTATTTTAAAATTTAAAAAAATATATAATTGAGTCGGTAATATTTTTGTGTTATTTGTTAACTCCTGTTAAATTTTATTGCTAAAATATAATTTTTCACTAATAACGAAATTTTGATATTTTTTATTAATTAGCAATATTTTATTAAATAATTAGAATACTTTCAAAATATTAATATAAGTTACAGAATTTAGACTACTAACGCATTCATAATTCAACTGATTTTAAGAACTTAAGCAAATAAAATTTCGAACTTTCGTCCGTATACATACATATGTTATATGTATGCAAACGTATATTTGTATTATTTTAAATTGAAAATAATGGTAAAAATTTCGCTAAAAATGCTAATTAATTATTGCGACAAAAAATTTTGTCAAAATTTTCAAATACAATTTAAACTTACACACATTTAAGAACACTTTTAAAATACCATCAACATAGCAAATTTTATATTTGTATTTTGTTATACATAATTTTTAAAAAAAAATTTAAGTTTCAAAAACTTTCAATTAAAATAATTTAAAATTACAAATTAACATGACAGTGCTAAAATAATTATTAAAAAAAAAAAAAAGAAATTTATTAGCATGATAATATGAGAGGCCAAAATAGAATTTCTAATTGCTGTTAATTAAAATACCCTTCTGTATTAATTATTTTGAAGTAAAATTTTTTTTTTTTAGAACTTTAGGTTTAGAACGGTGTAAAATGAATTTTTGGTTAACAACAATACTGTAGAAATTATGAATTAAATGTTTAGATTACAAATTTAATTATTATAAATTTTCAGAATTATATTAGTGATCCCCTAGGGATCGAAATTTCGATGAATCACTCATATATATAATAGAAATTGAAAGTAAAAAAATACATTGTCTGTTATAAAATATCGAATAAAATGTCTTCTTATGTCCTAATACTACAATTAACGTAGTTTACTCGTACTTTGAATGCTGTTAGCTTATTCCAGTTTGTCATTTATTCTCGCTTCGGAAATTCGAACGTATGACGCATGAGAGAAATTCAAAATTCTCATTTTATATGAGAATTTAAAATTTCTCTCAATTCTGAGCAACCGTTATAATTTTGATATATCCAAAACCCAACCATAAGTACACCTATAAGTATATACATATTATAATTGTATTGTATTGTTTATTGCAGAAATTATTTAAATATGCGTATTTGTGTTTTATAATTTTTTTTTTTTTGAAAAATATTTAATAATTAAACAATTTAATGTTAATTTTACTTTGATTTATTGAATTCAAATTCGATAGATATTACGAGATATAAAATATTATGTGGTATGAATGTTTGTGTAGATTAATATTTTTAATTTATTATTAAACATTGTAATTTATAATCTTATTTATTAATTTTCTCTCGTTTCAGATTATTTATACATATATAAAATAATTAGATAAGCAACAAAAAACAAATAAAAAATTATATAATGACTAATATTGAAAGACGTAGTAAAGTAAACCGTTTTACAAGTAAGTAAATAAAATTATTAATTTTATATTTGTACCTATCCATATTTACGACAAATTAAATAGTTGTAATTACATACTTTTATTATTTACTTAAGTAAATAGAACGGAAAAGTTTTGTTGATAACTTAAATGCACCTTTGCCAAAAATAAAAATTTATTCATACATACTTATACGTATGTATGTATGTATGTATGTATAGGTATATTGAAATTATCAAACCTGTAGAATATTTTACGGTATTTAAATACACGTTTAACTCAGTCAATATTGATTTATTTGATAAATATTTTAAAATTTTATATATGTACATACTAATGTATATTGTATGTTTATATTGTTACAAAAGTTATAATAGTTTTAATTATTGAGAAAATGTTAATGAAATTTTCATTATCACAATTATACTGTATAAAAGATTCGTGCTTTGTAATATTGTTAGAAGCTTTTCTTTATAACAATATACCCTTTTATTATAACAAATTTTAAAATATAAACAGGTGGTTTTAAATTGGAATTTCATCGTTATATTGTAATTTAAGGTTAAATTAAATATGTATGTATTTACTTTTAAGATAATTTTTAAGCATACATATAAGTAAGATATGCTAAGTAGAAAGTTCATTGTCAACATTATGTTTGTATATGCATAATATTTTATGTTAAAATTTACATATACATATATATAAATTTAAAGAGTACTCAATATAAACTGTTATACGTGCATATATTTGCACAAATATAAAAGAAAATATACTTTGTTCTGAAAATATTCATAATAATAGTTGATGCATATACCACATACATACATTTACCATAATTTAGAGCAGCACCCGGCAAACTATGACCCGCGGGTCACGAAGTGACCCGAAGCATGATTTTATGTTACCCGCTTCGAGTTTTTAAAGTAACTTTCCAAATCTATGTAAGAAAAATAACAAAAAATTGAACGAAATTAAAGAATTTTTTATTTTCCAAACCATTTATTCAAATGTTATAATGGATCAAGTTATAATTGTGAACAAACATTTTCACAAATGAAGTATATATTAAATAAAAACAGGAGTAGTTTGACTACGGAGCATTCTGATGAATGTGTCCGACTTAAGGTATCAACATATGAACCAAACTTGTCCAAATTAACTGCAACAGCACAGCATTATGGAAGTCACTGATTTTGAACTTATAATATTAAATATTGGTTTTGTTATTTTTTGATTTATTTTTATTATATGTGTATTGAATTTATTTCTGTTATGTTTCTATTTATTTTAATATATAATAAATGAATTAACTTTTCGTTTAACTATTCTTTTTAATTGCTTTTTTATAAAATTGCCGCTGATCCGCTATGAGTTTAAAAAAATCTGATTTTTGACCAATTTTACCCACGACCAAAAAAGTTTGCCGACCACTGATTTAGAGTCTTCTGTTTTTTATATTCAAAAATTTTGTATACGAAAATTTTTTTTCTGTGTAAAAAGTTTAGGCACGTACATACATAATTTGATTAATGTTATATTTCGGAACATTTTACAACTTTAGTTTGCAGACGAATCGAATCAGCGACCAGATTCCGAAGAAAAACATTGGTAAAAATTTATCATTATAGAACTATGAATACGGTAGGGTTTTCACATATAACAAAATCAAAAGACTCTGGCAAAAAAAATGACTGGACTCCGGTACAATTTATGCCATGCGGAGAAGAGTTTTATAGATTTTATATAGTTAGTGTAATTATTGGGAGCACACTTTTTGCTCTTTCAGAACTATTGTCTATCTATGAATTTCTAGTTAGTGATGTTATAATTTTTCAATATACGAGTATTCAAAATATTCATGAATAATAAAATATTCAAATATGAATTAAAAATTAATTTTAATCAGAAAATTTCTAGCTTTAATATAAAAATAAAAATAGCAATGTTATTTATTACTCACATTTATTATTATTGATCTAAATTTCATGTGTAGGTTTTTAAGATGTTAAGCAGATCTGTTAAATATTTTTTTTCTAAAAACTTAATGTAATAATAAATATAACTTTAATTATTTATAAATGATAGATGATCGAATACAATATGCAAACTTCTATTTTTTTAATTTTTAAAATGGAATTCCACAATTTTTATGTGGGTGATTATATTTGAACATATGCACACACACAGGTACTTCAGTTCTTTCTTCTAATTCTAGATTTTAACTGCATGGGGTAAAATATTTTGTTTGTTTAATTTTAAAAATGAATATACAGTATAAATTATGATGCAATAAGTAATTATTAAGCAATTAGAACAGATGATTTATTATTTCCAAAACGAGATATTATTCTTATAATAAATTAAACAAGATTACAGTTGAATTTTGATAAGAAGAATTGCAAGGGATCGAAATATTTGTTCAATTAATAGAAATTGTTCATTTATTCTGTTTTAACACAAATATCACTTAATATGTATATATTCGGAAAATTACTTGCACTTACAGCGTAAAAGAAACTACACTACTTATAGATAGGAAAATTATTAGTAATTCAACTTTTGCAATTTAATAAATAATAGTTGTCCTCCGTATTATTACTACAGACACACAAAGATTTGTGTATTATGAATTAAATTTAGCATAGACAAGAACCCACTCAATAACTACACATTATACAAATCAATTGTTTCGTGGAATTTTCAGGTTTTTCGACGAATTTTCTTTTTCGGATAGTGAAACTTAAGAAATACTGTTAAATAGTGAAATTTAAGAAATTGAAGAAATTTTTTTTTTTATTTTATAATCAAAGAGCAAGAGCAAACGCTTCTTGCCCCAGTTATTTTCGCTTAAATCTTAAAGAAATTTTTATTTTTTTTTGATCCATTTTAAAATGTGTTTATTGTTCCTCATTCACAAAATTATACGATAAAAATTAAAATTTATCATTTTTGTCCTTGTTCTTAACCTCAATGGTGCAAATGGTTAAATAAGTTCAATTGAGGAAAAAAAAAGTTCGAAAACGTGTTGTACTCGTAATTGAACTTGAGCCAAAAAAAAATAATTTCTTTAACATTTCATAATTTTAATATTAAACATTTTTTTAAAATGTTGTTATTGAAAATTTTTTCTTTTGCAAAAAAGAAAAAAACAACTTGCGAATATCAGATGAACAACAATATAATAACAGTGGAACACAACACAATCATACTTACTATATACAAAAACAAGAAAAACGAAAGAGAAAACATTCGCTCATGTGATCTAATAAATTATTTTGTGGCGTGATTTTGTTTAGGTTTATTGTTTTTCTACTTGTTTTTTTTTGTGTTTTACCAATATTCGTGTATATGATTATATAAATTAAGAGATTATTAGAAACAAATTTAAATAATCTAAATAAATAAATAAATTAAAAATAGATGGCGTTTTTTTTGGTTTGTTGTTTACTTCCAAAAATGAATGCTGACCTTTTTTTTTGCTGCGTCTTTTTAAAAGTTGCGATTTTATCTCAATTTTTTTTTTATTTTTTGCCTGTCTTAAATCTCAACAGAATATTCGCATATTATGTGTGATGTGATGCGGCAGCTGTTTGACGTCAAAATATCAAAAAGTAAAAAAAAAAGGAGGTACGAATTTTTAATTTTTTTTTTTAAATCGTTGTTTTTTTTATACTTTTATAAGAAAAATCTTATACTAATACATACAAAATTTGACGTTTCAAAGCAGTTCATTTGTGATAAATTTTTTAATTAAATTTGGGGTGCTTAGAATATATTCTTCGAATTTTATACGACTAAAGTCTAAGAACGCTTCTTTTTCTTGTGTACCTTCCGAAACGGGTCAATTAAGAAATAAGAATAATTACTTTATAAATTAGGTACATATTTTATAACCTGTGACTGGTTAAAGCAGTTATTAGTATAGGTTACAAAAGATTTTTACATTAGAGTAACCAAGAGCCTGCAGTTGTTTATCCTGTTAAGAGATTATGTCGTATACATCGTATGCGTCAATTTCAAAAGTTCATTTTTTAATTAATGTCGTATATGTGCATTATGCCGAAAAAGAAAATTACATTTTGCTTTGAAATTTAAAGTTAAGCAAAAAACGAAAATTTCGTTGTTAATAAAATTACGTGAATGCGCGTCTTCGCTTGAAATTAATTCAGCACAGTAAATCGAGCTTTCTAAGAAAAACTAATCGCTTAACAGGCTTTTTGTCCGATAATGTAATTATTATTAAATAATTAATAGCATTTTCTTTGCGTCTGTACTTAGAATGATGTAAATTACGGAATGATAATTTTTCATTGTTATTTTGTCTTACTTATATTATATAACTATGTCTTTTTAGTGAAAATATTTTTTTAATAGGATTTTTTCTAAATTTTCTTTTTATGCTCCCAACATGTCTCTGTTGCAATAAGAGTGGTCGCCTTATTTATTGTCATTTTCATATTAAATGAAAAATAGCATCGAAGAAACTCTGTCAATGATGACATTCAACTTTAAATACAAATGAATTTTGCAATAAAATTTGAAAATTCTAATTAATTTTTGATAAACCCAATTTGGGAAATTTTCAAAAAAAATTCCCAGTCTTCTGATTTTTTTCAAATCAAATGCTACAAAAAATTATTGTACGGACACCATTGACTGTACAGTTAAAACAGAGGTATGAGGATGTAGATATGTACAAATGTATGTACATATGTATGTATAAAACTTATAAAACTTTCAAAAATTTAATCTTTTGTTTTTTGTTTTATTTGAATTTTTTAATTAAAAAAAAACATGTGATCTACCATTGATGTAGATAAAACGGAACATGTTGTTTTATTAATTTTTTTTTGTTATTTATAAAAATTTTGTTTATAAAATTATTTTCTATTTTTTATTTCATTACTGATATTCTCTTTTTTAATGACAAGATTATAAATTGTGAAATAAAATTGGCTTGGTAACCTAATCTATTATTTTAGAAATTATAAAGCATATTGTATAAGGAGGTTGTTATA